AGGGCAGCTTTTCCTAGCCAAGGCATTCAAATAAATTATCTGAACAGTTTATATCCAATTATTTTAAAAAATTCATGTTCTTCCTCCACCCTACCCCACCCCCACGGTCCTCTTCTGTGGCATTTCCCCCCCTAAAAGAATGGGGCCTGTTGAGCCTTGGGAAAAGAAGACAGAGGTGTGACAGGATCATGCTTTTCAAATACTTATGTTTTTTTCCGTACAGAAGAAGAGGCAGCATCTGTTCTGGATCTTCCCAGAGGGCAGAACGTGTTATAAATGGACTCCAGCGACAGCCTTTACAGACCCCCCCCTTCCAACTTGATTCTAGGATTCATTTTTGATAGTAACTGAAAGAATAGAGGTTGTCATGCTAATTAACTTTGGAACCCCTCTAGAAGGGGTTAAAGGTGGGATAAGTTTATATTGGGCAGTGATTTGGGATGTTACATTTGGACCCAATTAAACTGTGCTTCCTATACCTAGTTGCTCTCTAAAAAGAAATCATGGGGAGAGATGGCCGCCTAGAGTGGTCAAAATGACCAGATAGGCGGGGTATAAATGGAATAAATAAATAAATAAAGAGAACGGCTATGTTAAATAAATTTACGCGTGGGAATACATGGAGGCGTGACCACTGGATTTTTAGTCACATAGTACAAGCACAGGATGATGGGGAGTGAAATAAATGGAGGGCTCCTTTACCTGCTTCAGAATACATACATACATGAACAGGGTCTGTGTGTTCTCATGGGGCCTCCTCCCACCAGCATTAAAGTCCTGTGTTTTGCTGGTTAACAAGAAGCAAAAAATAAAAAAAATAAATTAAAAAAAATCAAAGGGTGGCAGGAAAAAAGGAGATAAAGAAAATCTCAAGTAGTCTTCACTTAAGAACCCCCAGGAATATCCTCCAATGTGTTGCATAAGAAAAGTCACTTTCCAGAGGGGAGTGCAAAACCACAATTTAATATGTGTTAAATAGCCTTTTTCTTTTCCTGTTCATGTTTGGTTTTCTCAAAACAGTAAATTCCAGTTTTAGCAATGAAAAACCAGAAAGAAATTATTAGCATCCTATGGGGAAGGAAAAATTCCTGGCATAAGAGGTGTGGGGGGAGATGTGTTTGGCCCTTCAAGTCCCAAGGTCAAGATTCTGACAAACTGGCTTTGATCTGGTGCCCCTGCCCCAAAATAAACACCCACCAAAAAACTCAAAGTAACTGGTGTAGCTTCCACTCATACTCCTCCAAGGCTGGGCATAAAGATAAAATGCAAGCAACTCAACTTTTCCAAGCTAGCCTACCCAACTCTCTCTCTTAATCTTTCCCACTCCTGCAATTTCAATCAAATGGCTGTTCCCACTTCTGTTTAACCAGCTATTTGCTTCTGGAAAGAAATGGTTGTTTGTATCTCGTCGGACACACAATTTGGGTTCCTGCTTTGAGCAGGGGGTTGGATTTGATGGCCTTATAGGCCCCTTCCTATTCCAGTATTCTATGATATATATTACTGATTTTTATCCACTCCTGTGCATATATTCATTCAGGACTGTAACATGGAAGAAAACAGTTAAAAACAGCCCCTCTCTGTGCACAGGAGTGGATAAATATCAGTAATACTTATTTAAATCACAATTTAAATTCATTTTTTTAAATTTAAATTGTGGTTTCAGTCAACTCCACCCTGCTGTGCAGTTCAATTCTAATCCTTTTAAGGCCTCCCCGTGACTGCTGTTATAAAGGGGAAGGGCAAACATGTTAAATGTGTCTTTGCATTTAACATATCTCTTCTCTCTCCTCCCCCCCCCACCAATATTGATAATGCAGAATGTCAAGTGCAGAAGCTTACTCTTTAAAAGCCTCTCAAGAATTCAATTCACTGGAAGGATGCTGCAGAATAATTCTGTGGGTCAGCCATTCGTGCCTCTCGCAGTCCTGTACCCGAAGATGCGTGACAGATTTGCAGTTTGGAGAAGCAGCTTGCATTGGCCCCCAGCCTCCTGCACAGAGGTGCTTTTTATGGGCTTAGGCCCTGTGTATTATGCTCTTTGCCAGTCTCTGCCCTCATACCAGCTGCACTCCAGACAATTGTTCCACCCACTTCGTTATTCAAGAACTCTGCTCAATTTCCATGCACACGTAGTCCAGCACCCACAGGCAATCTACCGAAAAGTTCTGCCTAGCCTGGACATGATCTGCTTTTCTAATCAGTCATCCAGTCTCAAGATAAAACTCTGTCCCTGTTGCGCCCCCCGCCCCCGCCAACCTTTCAAGGGGGTTATGCCCTGAAATAAGTTTTAAAGACTAAAGTGCCTGAAAAAACTTTTTAAAATTAAAGCTCAAGTGAGAAAGAAGCAGCACCCACTTGCATGTGTGTGGCCAATGATTGTCTTCACGCAGGCAGCTCTGTCAGTTGGGCCGTTGGGCCCTTGCAGCCTCGCCTGACGGGTGATTTCTTAGGAGTTAAATAAAAAGGAGGAGGAAGTAGTAGACGCAAGGGAACGGGGGATGCATTCAAGCAGGCATAAGGCATCAGGCAGGGAAGACAGCCCAGTCTTCCAACCAGCTAGTGGTTAAATTATTGCAAAAAATATAATCTCAGGAGATGTTGGTCCAAACTGGGAGAAGGGAAGAGTCCCCGCACCCATTCTGGCATCAGCAAAATCTCAGGAAGACGGAACAGTGAATGAAGATGGCTTCTGGAGCCAAAATGTCGTCCTTCCGGTTCGTATGCACACTGCCGCTACAAACCCACACCACCTGGATGCTCCCATTCCAGTGGGTGTTTCTGCTCATCTGTTAGCTGGCGCGGATGGCAGCCAAGCAACCGCCAGGCTGGGCACCTCCAGAAGGCGCACGGCATGGAGAGAAAGGCCTTAGTAGCTGCTCTCGTGACCCGTCAGAATGTAGAGGTTGCTCTGTGCTGTGGGGTTGCCCGTGGGGGTGCTCTCGAGAATGATGTCTCTGGGTTGGGAGGAAAAAGAGACAGTGGAAAGAGTCAGCAACACGCATAGAAAGCGACCTTCATGAAAAGCGGAACAAGGAGGACCAGTTATCCACAGCATGGCAATCCGTGCTAGGAAAACGCAAAAGCCATGGAGCATTGAAACAGGATGCAATGTACGGAAGGGACACATCAAAAAATACTGTATAGCGAAGTTTATTGTTTAAATGCCTGATACGTTCTGGCCAAAGGGTTTCTTTGGATTCGGAAAAAAACCCATCTGTTAAAAGAGTCTCTGATATGCTGTACTGGTTTTAGAGTCTATCGTAATACATTTCTGATCATGTTTGTCTTAGACTGCTAAAAGAATGTTTTAAAACAAGTTGTGCCTTTAAACAGTAAACATCACTGAACAGGTGGTTGTTGTAGGCTTTTTGGGCTGTTTGGCCGTGTTCTGGAGGTTGTTCTTCCTAATGTTTCGCCCGTCTCTGTGGCCATGGGCATCTTCAGAGGACAGGAGTCAGGACTCCCAGATTGCCCCAGAGCACAGACGACTTGACGACACACAACAGCTTATGATCTTGACGTGGTGCTGGCAATCGTGAAAGGCTTCCCCTGTCCTGAGGCTTCCAGTGGCTTCCCTCAGAGAAAAAAAAAAAAAAAAAAAAAAAAAAAAAAAGCTCTGGGGAGGCTTGGGGCCTGAAATGGGGGTGATGATGTCACTTCTTTTGCCTCCTTTAAACTTACAAGAAATCACCCACGGATTTTGCGCATTGTCAAGATCAGGTACAGTGGTGCCTCGCACAGTGAGGTTAATCCGTTCCGGATTAACCCTCGCTGTGTGAAACATCGCTGTACGGAAAGAAAAAAGCCATTGGAATGCATTAAACTTAGTTTAATGAGTTCTAATCAGCTGATTTACTCACCGTACAGCGATGTTCCTCTATGACCGGCAGCCATTTTCGCGCCCTCCCCTCGTTTAACGAGGGCGCGAAAACGCTGCGCGCGGCCATTTCGGGGCTTCCGGCGGCCATTTTGTAGCTGCGGAACAGCTGATCGGTGGGTCGCAAAGCAAAGGTCGGTAAGCGAACCGCTTACCGACCTTCGCTCTGCGATTTTCGCCCATTGGGGCCGTCGCTCTGCGATAGCATTAGCGATCGAAAAAACCTCCCCGTAGAGCGAATTCATCGCTCTACGGGGCGTTCGTTGTGCGAGGCACCACTGTACTCTTCCAGTGGCTTAAACCTCCTCACCTGTGAGCTCCTAAGACCCGGAAAACTCTGGACTCATCTGTGACCTCCTGTGTCATCTACCGTGGGGAAAAAAAAAAAAGAACAGTTAGCAAGAAGTCCCTGTAACAGAGGCTTATCTGTAACACCCTTGAATTTTTCTCTTGTGATGCAGAGAAGTCAGAATATGAGGATCTTTCCAAACCGCATGCCTTCCAGACATTCTGCATCACAACTTCCATTATCCCACAAGACCACATCTTGGAGGTGCAAGACACACGGCTGTAGTCTGACACCACTGGACAGTATGTGGTGGAAGAAAGACTGGAGGATCTGATTTTTCTCTGCCTAAATGTAAAACTTTGCCTCTTTCCTCAGTAAAACTCATTTTGTTCCTCTTGGCCCCATTCTTCAACCGGTTAAGGTCAGCCGGAATTCTGCATCTGTGTTTATGTCAAAGATTTATAGCACTGGTTCTTAACCTTGGGTTACTCAGGAGTTTTGGACTGCAACTCCCAGAAGCCTTCACCACCAACTGTGCTGGCTGGGGTTTCTGGGAGCTGCAGTTCAAAAACATCCGAGTAACAAAGGTTAAGAACCACTGATTTATAGCACCCTGCTGCAAAACCCTTTGGATGGTTGACAAATTTGAAAAGGAGTGTCAGCAAAATCCTAGATTTTGTTGGTGGAAATAAATAGGTGTAATAAAAACCAGGGAAAGAACAAAAACAGACTGAAAATGTTCAAAGAGTCGGAAAGTACAATATTAAAACAGCCAGCCATTGCAGATGTCTACGTTGGCTGGGGCATGTCGTGAGAATGGCTGACGGTCAGATTCCAAAAGATCTCCTGTACGGAGAATGAGTGCAGGGAAATCGCCCCAGAGGGAGACCACAGCTGCGTTACAAGGACATCTGCAAGCGGGATCTGAAGGCCTTGGAAATGGACCTCCACGGATGGGAAACCCTGACCTCTGAGCGTTCAGCCTGGAGGCAGGCGGTGCATCACGCCCTCTCCCAATTTGAAGAGACCCTTGTCCAGCAGGCCGAGGCCAAGAGGCAGTCCTGGAAGTAGCAAAATCAGGGAGCTGGACAGGGATTGTATCTGTCCTCATTGTGGAAGGGACGGACACTCTCGAATTGGCCTCTCAGCCACACTAGACGCTGTTCCAAGTCCTCCATTCAGAGCACGTGGCCATCGTCTCTCGAGACTGAAAGATGCCTACACAGGAAAACAGCCAGCAGTAAAAGCCTCACTAGCAGCACCAGCAAGAAAAACAAGGCCTGGGTGCCTACCCAAAGGGGAAAGCTGTTGACTCGCATATGGGTAAGGAAGGCGGCATATAAATTACATGTATGGTACAGTATTAACAAGGACACCCGTTGGCTTTCCCTACAGGAAACGACTGAGAAGCATCTATTTGTGGCAGACACCCTTTCTTTCTGCGGTGGGCAGAGACTCCCAGAGAATTTATTTATTTATTTATTTCATTTATACCCCGCCTATCTGGTCATTACGACAACTCTTCAATACCTGACTTTGGTTATCAAGTAGGATGGTATGGGAGCGGGCACTCTTTCAGATGCACCGGGCTTTTTTTTATGGGTCTAGAAAGGACACCGGAGAAGAATCCCGTTCTAACTTCCCACGGGTGTGGAGTCCTCTTCCCATACAACGTAGGTGTAGACAAACAGCACAGGTGTTAAGGCATGTGATTCCCGGATCAGCCCTCCACCCCCAAAGCGACTCAAGTGACCTTTTATCCCCCAGGGTTGGAAGATCACACCGCTGGGTTGGTGGCGAAATGAAGAGAGGGACGCCAGCTGCTGCCCCAAAGCTGGCTGGACTCACCTCATTGAATTCCAGGCTTCGGCCTTGCATACCATGTTTCCAGAAGGCGAGAACGCTGTCTTGAAGGCACACTGGGGTGGAGGAGCAGAGAGAGGAGATTCTGAGTTCTGGAGAACATTTCCCTCCCACCCCATGAATCGAGCAATCTTCTGTGGCAGAAGGAGGCCTTTATAATGCACGTTTTGTCTGTGCTCTGCTCCTGAGATGCTCAGTTTTCTTGACAACAACCCCAGTCTCTTACACCGGGGATGGACAATGTGAATTCCTCAAATACCGTATTTTTCGCTCCATACGACGCACCTTTCCATAAGACGCACCAATTTTTTAGGAGAAGAAAACAGGAACATATAATCTGTTTTCTTCACTCCATAAGACACACAGACATTCCACCCCCGTTTTGTGGGGGAAAAGTGCGTCTTATGGTGCGAAAAATACGGTAAGTACAATTTCCTCCCTGATGCCCAAGCTGACTAGGGCTCCCGGGGGAGCGTCAGTGCGACAATATGGTCCAGGAGGCCATGGCCATAAGCTGCAGAAAGCAGCTTGGCCAAGGTACGGGACATGCCTAGCGAAATGCTGGTAGTTAGCAGCAGAGGGCTGAGTAAGATTTGGCGGTGGGGCTTCGGTTGATGGCAGAACCCCTGCTTGGCAAGCAGGAAATCCCAGCTTCAATCCAGACAGAGCTGGGAAAGGCTGCCTTGGCTGGCAGAAACCCGTGCCCATCGGCGTAGAGAAGACTAAACTGAATAGCTCAGAGACCTGGTTCAGTATCTGAGAGCTTTCTGTGCTATTTAAATTAGCCCTTCGTTTAGAATCACGAGAACTAGAGTCTTGCTTTAATCTGTTTGTTGTGCTTCTGGACTATATATCCTGGCACCACAGATCCCTCACTCTCTCCTATCCAGGCCTGCCTCGCAGGGTTGCAGTGGGATAAAGTGCGGAGGAACAGTGGAGCTATGCATTGCCACCTTGAGCTCACGGGAGGAAAGGGGCGATAGACATGATCATGTAAGAAGATTAAACTAACGAAACAATATTAAGAAGTCGAGATGCGCGCAAACCACCCACATTTCGGTGTGGTTCGTTTCGTGGCCAAACAGCAGATCTGTGGTTCGGTGCCCCACTCTCCTCCAGTGGGTACCCATTTCGTGGCGGCACCCTGCCTTACATCCTCCGGTTGCTGTATAAGACGATCTTCAATTTTTATTCTAAAGATTTTAGACAAAAGTATAGTCTTATACATGGAAAAATATGGTTGGGTGCCAACTGGAGGAGAGAACAGCGCCAAACCATGGATCAGCTGTTCAGCTGGGAAACAAACCCCGCCGAACTGCCGGTTTGTGCCCATCTCTATTAAGAAGCTTAAGGAACCTCCCCACCCACCCCAGAACTCTACTCACCAATGGTCTCGATAGGGAAGCTGAAGGTGAGTTCAGGAGCAAGGGCTCCCTGGGGCGTGCCACAAAGGTTCACAACCCTCACACAGCCTGTAGGAAAAGAAGAGGGAAGGCCTTCACCAGTCAGCCAAGGGAAAAATCAGGCAGGAAGAACAGGGGCCAAAGATGGGATAAGTTCCTTTTTTTTTCTGGACTAAACCGTATTTTTCAGTGTATAAGACTATACTTTTGTCTAAAATCTTTAGAATAAAAAATTGAGGGTCGTCTTATACACATAAGTAAGCTGAGGAGAGAACAAAAACAAGTGGAAGGGAAAGCAAGGATCAAAGCGATCCTGCAGTGCTTTTGATCCCTTTCCCCCTGCACTTGCTAAGTCCCACTTATTTTTCTTACTTTTTGATTAGAAAATTGGGGGGCGTCTTATACACAGAAAAATAAGGTAACTCCCAGCGACCTTGTAGGCCATGAGTTTCTGGGAGCTGAAAAGTAACTTTTCTCAAGCACTTGGAACATTCCACTTCTCCCTTCAACAATGTAAGGGGTGCCTGACCCCCGTGTAATTTCAAAATCCAGGTATAATTCTGATGCCCCCCGAAAACACAACTAACAGAGCACAAACAGTTGATGAACGTGCACACGCACAGAAAACAATTTTCTCTCTCCAGGTTCTCTCTTCCACAGCGTTGAGAACCCTATCCATAGAGTACGGTGTGTTATGAGTCCTAAAGGTCTGCATGACCCCCTGATCTAGAGGCTGGATTCAAGATGTTGTGCATAGGGGCAAGCAGACCCCTAGAATGCCTCCGGTCCTTAGCCATGCATGCCCTCGGTTCTGGGTGGCTAGAGACACAGTATTTATTGATTATTTATTTATTGAAATAAATCCACTTATAACCAAATCCATGCTGCTCAGACCCATGCAATTCAAAGAAGTGCAGTTTTAAAATGTAATGAGTTCCTGTTACTCAGTAGAGCAAAAGTAATCCTTTGTAGTTACTTTTTTTTTCAGCGCCGAAAAGGAAACTCCCAAAGTTGCAACTTCTGGATTGGTGCATAGCCACCATTCAGGAGCAGGTCTTTTGCAAAGAGAACGGCTTTAAACAACCTGCTCAAGACCAAACAATACCAACATCCTTTGTGTAATAACCGGAGACAACAAGGGCTGAAATCTGCTAGAAAGCTTCCACCAGAGTAGGCCCACCGAATCAGTGAGTTAACTCCTCCATCGGTTCTGCTGATTCAATAGGGCCTCATTGAGTTGCGTCTTATGTTTACTGGATTTCAGCCAACAAAAAGTGTTCCTGGGGAAAATCCATTTATCTCCCAGGCATTGCAAAGACTGCAACTTAAGCTCAAAGGCAAGAGGGAAATCTGAGAGGGGTGCCGGATGACGTAGTCCTTGTGGCTGAGAAGGACTACAAGGGCTTTGATCCTGAACCATGACACCACCCAACAAGCAACAGAGAATTAGATGACTTGTCGTGCCTTGTTTTCAAACTCTACATCTCCTCACCGCCGGAGAGGAAAACAGTGATGACCAGGTCCAAACCGGGAAGCAACTTACGTTCAAAACACACCAGGACAGTATCACGATCCATCTGGGTGACGTGGCTGGCCATCACCAGCGGACGGCCTGTAATGAGAAAGGCAAGATTCTAAGTGGGACAATGGTAGGACAAGGCACAGCAGGATGGGGCTGACGTTAAGCTGGGAGGGACCGCCCTGCAATAGACTCAGGAGGGAGAGGGTCCTAGGTCAGTGGCTGAGCACCTTCTTCGCAAGACAGAAGACCTTGGGTCCCATCCCCCACATTTCCAGGGTTAGCTGCCCCAGAATAAATTATCCTTAATGCCGAAAAAGAGGGCTCTTCCACATTGGGCAAAGGTTACTGTAGAAGCACTAGATTCAATCTTCACCATTGGCTTCAGTATACAGTGGTGCCTCGCTGGATGATGATAATCCGTTCCACTGAAATAGCTGTTTAGCGAAATCATCGTCTAGCGAAAAGCATTTCCCCATTGGAATGCATTGAAACCTGCATTGAATGCATTGAATTGTCGTTGTCTAGCGAAGATCGGCCATAGGAAAGCCGCTTTGCGAACCGCCGATCAGCTGTTTAAATCGCTGTCTTGCAAAGCTTAGGTCCCGAAAACACCTGTTTTGCGAGCACGGAGGGAGCTGTCAAAATCGTTGTCTAGCGAAAATCGGTTTGCGAAGCAGGGACCAAACATCGTCCAGCGAAATTGCCCCATAGGAATCACTGTTTTGCGAATCGCTATAGCAATCGCAAAAAGTCAAATGTCTAGCGAAAAAACTGTCATGCGGGGTAACTGTCTAGCGAGGCACCACTGTACAACCCTCCCCCACTCTGCCAACCCAACCCCACCCAACCCAAGGCTTGATTTCACACGTTCAGTGGATTTCCCCCTCCCTTTTCAAGGCTTTTCATCTTAACCAGATCCATGCTTTGGTTCGCTTTTGGGGGCAGAGTTTAGCACAACAGCATTTTCAGTGAGAAGTTGTTCTCTTCCACATCAGAAACGTTTCTGGCTGAAAGTTTTCAGTTCCCTCCCAAATAAGAGAAAAGAAAAATCATTCCAGAAGCAAGGCTCCAGAGGTGGAAGAGGGCTTTCGAGGGCTTTTTCATCCAAGCATTTCAAGGATTTCTTTAAAAGAAGTGGTTTTTAAAATGATGGAGCAAGTAAGTAAGATGCAGCTACGGCCCTTCGGATGCATGTCTATTTCTGCCTGAATCCTTCCAGAAAGAAGAGACAACTGCCAGCTCTCCCACTATGAAACCATCCCTTGGAAGATGTTTTCCCCTGTCACCCGTAGCCAAGATCCACCTCCTTGCAATTTCCACTTGTTTGTTCTGGCCTTGGCCATTGTTTGCGGCAACGGAGAACCAATCCGCTCGGTTTTGTGTCTTGCAAACTTAGCAGAGTTTGGAAATAACGCATTTAAACCCGTTTTGTGCACAATATATTGTGAGCCGCCCTGAGTAGACTCCTTTCTAGAAGGGTGGGATAAAAATCTAAAACTAAATAAATAAATTTGATTTAATGTCCTAATATTAAAATTGTTCATTTTGCATTAAACCGGAGAAATGCCTCTGGTTTTTTTTAAATTGTGAAAATAACATCAAAACATTATTAAATCGTTTAAAATGCATTAAATGCCTGCATATATGCTGGTGTAACACAAAAGGTGTATGTTTTTGAGGCAAAGTTCAGAAATATTCATAGACATTATTTGGTGCATACAGAGTCACACCACTTAGCATTTCTTAACTCGAGGCAATCTGCCTCGAAACGTTACACTTTTTTTGTGCAACGACACAAGAGGATCCTGGCAACGCGTTATTTCCAAGCTGTCAATATTTGAGGATTAAAAAACGGCCTCTGTTTAATCTTTTCTTCTCCAGATTCTACCTATTCTCTCTCTCTCTCTTACCCGAAGGGCTAGAAGTACTGAGGCCAGTGCTGAGGGATAAGGTATTGAAATGCAGCTCCGTTCCTGGCTGGTCACTGCCGGTGACCCCCAAGCACACCTGGGGGTATTCCTCCATCTCCACCACCAGTAGCTCAAACAAGGTCAGAGGGTCTGGCAGCGTCACGGAGATGTGCTGGGAAAAGGGAGAGACAAAGAGGGAACAATGATTTCTTAGCTGCCTTGCATGCGCATGCGCACACAGGGACCCAGAGAGAACTTTTCAGCCCCGCACGGTCCCGCATCTACCTTCAGCAGCATGAACTTCTGCAACGGCTCGTACCACTGCAGGAGGGCCAGGCTGGAGGGCAGAGCCGCGCACAGAAAGGTGCTCCCCGAATACGGGTTTCGGACTGAAAGAGAAAACGGAAGAGTTTGTGAGGCCGCTGGCTTTGTATTTTACTACAGACTGGCCTGACTGGCATGTGAGGGCCTCGTTGGCAAAGCCAACGTTGTAAGCCGCCCAGAGACCTTTGGGCAGAGTGGGCAGCATATAAGTTAATAAATAAAATAAAGTCGAACCAGACACAGCTTTCCTTCTGTTTTCCTAGTGATCTAAATTCTGTGACACAGACCTCCTCCTCAAAAGAGACTACACACCTGAGGGAAAACGGTGTGCAAGAGTGCATAGGATGCGGGGAACCCACCTGCCAAAACAACCATCACTAATATGTATTTTTATACAGTGGTGCCTCGCTTAACGAGCGCACCGTTTAATGACGAATCCGCATAGCGACCCTTTTTTGCGGTCGTTAATGCGATCACATTGCGATGTTTAGATAGGCTAAACATCACATTGCGATCAGTTCTGCACCCGGCAGCCATTTTGGGAACAGCTGATCAGTGGTTCCAAAATGGCCACCGGGTGCAGAAAATGGCCGCCCGCACCATTTTCACGCCCTGCCCTCGCTTACCGAGGGCGCGAAAATGGCGGTGCTATGGAGAAACTTCGCAGAACGGTGAGTTTAAGAGCCATAGGAACGCATCAAACTAAGTTTAATGCGTTTCTATGGCGTTTTCCGTTCCGTATAGCGATGTTTCCCCATAGCGACGGTTAATCCGGAACGGATTAACCTCGCTATGCAGGACACCACTGTACCTTCTATTCTTCAAGGAAAACTGTGTCAATTCAAGAGAGAGGTGTTTGGAAATGGGAATCAAAATCTAGGTGAAGCCCATGCCAATTACACACCACATAGTCTCCGGCATTTCAGAAGGGAGTTTCGCTGGGTTTATCAGGAGATGCCAGAGACTAAACTTGTGGATTTCTACATGAAAAGCTCAGCCACCGAGCCACACAGCCGTTCCCCACATATAGGAGTCCGGATGGGAGCAAGAAGACAGAAAACTCCTTTCTGACCAGATCGGAGTCTTTCTCCGCATAGACCAGTGTTGTCTCCTCTGATTTTCAGCAGCTCTTGAGGGCTTTCGGGCAGAGACAAGCTTTTCCTATTTATTTCCTGCTCCCTGACCATTTTCTAAACCAGTGATGCAAGCCGGGGGTTGATCCTTCTGCATGAAAGCAGCCGCTCTCCCACGAAACCACTGCCCACCAGCAAGACCACACCGGGCCGATTTGGACCAGGTTGTGGAGTCCCGCTGGCACGGTGATCCAAGCAGGAAGGGCAGAGAAGTCAAGGCTCACCTACACGACACTTCAAGCATCCTTTGGTGTCTGCAATCTTGGCTGACAATGTAAACTTCCTGCAAAGAGAAAGGAGGTGTTCTAGATTGGAGGGGAAGAGGAGAAGGCCTAGAAATCCTTTCCCTTTCCTCTTCATTCCTGACAAAAGCCTCCTCCACCACCACCCCAGCCCTGTTTTACCCTCTGCGTTTTGTGATGTGCCATCAAGTGGCATCTGACCTACGCTGATCCTAAAATGTTTTGGGAGATGTTAAAGGAATGGTTCACGACTGCCAACCCCCACATGGGTTTTCCTGGTTAAGCAGAAGTTTGAACCCCAGTATATATATATTTTTGCCCACTAGGTGGCACAAGGGAGCCCTTTCATTAAAAAAAAAAGCTTTGTAAGCAAAAAAACACAACCTGATGGTGGCATTATGGGAGCGCTTGTGGTCCCTGGGCTGTTGGAGGCACCCAATCTTCCTCTTAAGTGGCTATTATTTCCTCCCTGCTCCCATTCTTTCCTTGGGGACCCCTTGGCCATTCCATCGTCCCCACCTCTCCCCACCTGGGGATGATCCTCTCTGTCAGTCTGTTGGTGGCTATGGAAAGGGGGACTTGCCGCTTCTGCAGCTGGTGCCGCTGCTCAAAGAGCCCCGGAAGGTTGTGGGAGGAGATCTGGGAAGACTTCCCTGCAAAAGCAGAAGTGGGGAACGTGAGTTGCATCGCCGGGCGCCTGGGGTGGGCGATTAGAAGGCACAGTTTAAAGAAATTGCCTCCTGGACTGCAACTCCCAGTCTCCCCCAGCATGCTGGCTGGGGATTCTGGGAGCTATAGTCCAAAAAGATAACTTTCCTCAGCTTTGGTAAAAGGCACTCTTTTTTTTACATATTGACAAGACCAAGAAGCAGCCTTTATGGACCACATTGCCGTCCAGGAGAGGAACCCTGTGGCAACCAAAGCAACAAGAATGTTGTAGAACCTAGATGCACCTAGAACACACCTAGAACACGAGCTAGTTTTATTTGGCACGCGCTTTGGGGGGCTGCACGGTGCATGGGACGAAGGTACCGGCTGTTTCCAAAACCAAATAAAATCTGTTAAAACCGAATGCAATTGCCAGGACCCAACGAGTGGAAAGCCGTTGAATCGACAGGATTTCTGTAAGTACCGACTCGCCCATCGTCAAACCACTTGAATGGCTCTGTTCTAGTTGGATCGGGACTTAGACTTAAAAGGGGCCTCAAGCGGTCTCGTCACTTCAGGCGTGGGACCGTATGGCTGGAACGAACCCACCGCTGCCACCATGTAAGCAAACAAAGCAAAAGGCAAAAGTTCATCCCAAATGTTTCCATATTCTTGGGTCAAAGTTTTAGCACAACCCATCATCCTCAATCTCATGGTATGGTGGAAAGAGGTCAACAAACTTTGCTTAGGATGATTAAAACTTTGACCCAAGAATATGGAAACATTTGGGATGAACTTTTGCCTTTTGCTTTGTTTGCTTACACCCCTGTCATTGCAACCCACATCCTCCAAAATTAATCCTCTAGCTATCATGTAAAAAACCAGGGCAGAAGAGGGTTTTCCAGGTATCGTTCTGTACCCGGATACTTACCAGCTAAGGTCAGTAGCACATTATTCATACAGTAGAGCCAGGAGCATCTGTGTGGAAGGAGCTGGGGAGGGACAGAGAGAGAGAGAGAGAGAGAGAGAGAATTGCGTTTCCTTTCACTTGAGCTCTTCATTTTGTTATTGCATGGATAAGAACAGGCATAGCACACATACAAAAAATCAAGTCAAGTTCAATATGATGGATCATAATGGCGTGTCATCAAGTTGATTCCAACTTCTGGTGACTCTTCCTCGGATTTCCTAGGTACGGAGTATTCCGAAGTGGTTCACCAGTAGAGATGGGCACGAATCGCCAGTTCGTTGATTTGTGCACGTCGGCTTATTGGCCAAAGAGGTGCTCGGCGCTTCCATGCCCTCTTCTCTGTTGGGCACCCACTTGGAGGCAAAGTACAGAAGACAGGTTTGCTACCCCCAAAGGGGTGCCCATCGGAGGAGGCGGTGCGGGAAGAGTCAAACACCTCTTCAGCTGATCAACGAATCACCCAATGGGCAAGTTCGTGCCCACCTCTATTTACCAGTCCCCTCTTTTGGGACCAGGTAGCTTGCCCAAGGCCATGCCAGCCTGCCCCCTTAAGGCCCAGTAGGGAGTTACACTCCAGACCTGTCCAGCTCTCTTGAGCTCTACAGCGAAATAATGAAAAATTATAGACGGGCTAGAATCCCACTGGTTCGTTATGCTGGCTGGCATAATCTCCAGTAGCCACTGACTGGTCATTACAAGTCGCCCCTCAATGTGAACCGGCAGTGGGTGTGCAACAGAGGAGACAAGTGGCAACTCAGCAATTAGCAGCAATTCAATGCTGCGATTCATGCAGTTGCCGATATAACTAACGAATAAGACTCGGGCCGTTGCTTGAAAAAGAAGGTAGCACCTGTAAAGACGACATCCTGTATATTCCACTTGACAAGGATGGGCAAGCTTGTGAGATCATCTTTTATTAGCACCCTGAGACCCACCAGGTGCAAAAAACACACGTGGAACGACACACCTTCTGAGCCAGGCATCAAGTGAGTTGTAGACCTGGAAGGAGGTCACAAGTCCTCCTTCCATACATTTACTCCGACATCCACCCCACAAAAAAGTTTCTTCATATCCAACTTAAAATTTAAGAGCACGAGATAGACGTACTGTTGTGGCTAATATTTGTAATCAATTGCACATAACCCAGGGAGATTTAGCTGTAGATCCTGATCTGCTTACTTCCAAATGAACTACCGTATTTTTCTGTGTATAAGACTATACTTTTGTCTAAAATCTTTAGACTAAAAATTGACGGTCGTCTTATACATGGAAGTAAGCTGAGGAGAGAACAAAAACAAGTGGAGGGGAAAGCAGGGATCAAAGCGATCCTGCAGCACTTTGATCCCTTCCCCCCTACATTTGCTAAGCCCCACTTAGATTTCTTAATTTTGGGTTAGGAAAGTGGGGGCGTCTTATACACAAAAAATAAGGTAATTTATCAGCCAAAATCCTCAAAAGAAAATCAGCATGGGCATTGACTGCTATGTGTTGGTCGATTCCTGCCATTCAGGGCACAACAGAGAGCATCTGTGGTAACTCCTGAACTAGTGGCAACTACTGCCTGAGATTTACATCGCCTACACCGTGGCGGGTGTAGAACGGCAACAGGATTTTGGCCGATGGCTTAAATGGGCCATTCTTTGCTTTTAGGCGGCTACCACCCCTCCTCAAGTTTCTCCAGAGTTAGCTGAAATCTTCACGAGGAGGAAATGTATTTCCCAAGCAACAACATGTTGTGAGCGCTCTGTGGTAAAGGTGGAGAAGATATTTGCTAAATTCCTCACTCTCCTTGATTTAGAATTGTCTTGCTTGTGTGAAGACGAGACACCTCAACAAGGAAATTTATTGCCTGCTTCCCGGGGAAGCCAAGAGAAATGCCATTTTTAATTAATCAAAGTCTCTTTAGTTCTCATAAAATGCATCAGCACAAGACTGGTGTGTCTTCCTGTTAACAAGCAAAGCGCACACAACATGCGCTACGACCGGCTAGCTATTTAAAAAGATGTTAACAACCCCTATAAAGTTAAATTGCAATTGTAATCCTTAAAAGTGCACACAGCAAAACAGCAGCATCAACCCTTTGGGTGTAATCTGTATTGTTTGCATTAAATGGTTTACTTGCATTGAAAGCACAGATTTGCATTAAAGTATCATTTTCTCGATGATACACGTCCCCTGGAGGGATGTGGTGGCGCTGTGGGTTAAATTGCAGAAGCCTCTGGGCTGCAAGGTCAGAAGACCAAGCCGTCATAAGATCGAATCCACGCGCCGGAGGGAGCCCCCGTCACTTGTCCCAGCTCCTGCCAACCTAGCAGTTCGAAAGCATGTAAAAAGGTGAGTCAATAAATAGGGTCCACCTCGGTGGGAAGGTCACGGCGTTCCGTGTCTAGTCGCGCTGGCCACGTGTCTACGGAAATGGTCTTCGGACAAACGCTCTACGGGGATGAGCACCGCGTTCTAGAGTCGGACACGACTGGACTAAACGTCAAGGGGAACCTTAACCTTATCATTTTCTCGAAGTTGCTTAGCTAGCACGAGAAATAAAAAAATTCTTTTGTTCTCCTGCTTCTTGAAAGCACCAGAAAAAGCCAAGAATGACATGATAGTCTATCATCCTCTCATGTAAGGGTGACACAAGCCAGGATTTACATTCCTGATGAAGAGTATTCAGGGAATTTTGGCCTTGAAATAGCCAGGAAGACCCGTTAGTTTTACAAAAGACTTGGTTCATGACAGGAGGATGAAAACGGCTTCAGATACAGATGAACGAAACTGCCACCGGTATCTCAAGAATGTTTAGACCGACTAGACGTGAGGGACAGCTATGGGGAATGTCCTAATCCGCACCTGCGCATTAAAATAGACCAGCGAATCTCTGCTGCCAAGCCATCGTCACACAGAATCATAGAGTCGTCGTAGGGTTGGAAGGGACCTTAGAGGTCTTCTAGTCTAACCCCTTTGGAGCCCAAGGCAGGAGACCTCAGACCATGCCTTACCTTTCCTCGGTGCTGAGACATCTCCACACCCTTCGCTCCCCACGAGAGACTCACCTTCTCCATCGTATCCTCGTGTAACTCGTGGAGATTGAGCGTGTATATCCCTTCCTCTGCACCCACCACCAAGTACAGATCTGTGAGGGGAAAGCAGAGGGAAACGAAGTCGCAGGGTAACACACCCTGATCACCAGTAACTGGGAGAAGGGAAAGAGAGAAAGTGGGCCCTACCCCGCGTCTCCGGGTGGATCCACGTCGTGGCTGAATTTATCTTCAACGGACAGCCGTTGAAGATCTTGGAGAAACAGGCGCCCATCTAGGAAGGGAAAGAAGAAAAACGGAATCAGAGCACCCGGAACGCCGATTGGGATCCTGTGTCGTTTTGGGAGCTGAATCAGGGGCGAGTTTGGACTTGAATGGGAGTGAAGACCACGGTAGTCCCCCCCCACTATCTGCAGGGGATCCAATTTCTACAGATGCTGGAAAACACCAATTATCGCGAATGCATCATCTCGGGTGCCTTCTAGAGCAGCGGTCCCCAACCTTGGGACTCCAGATGTTCTTGGACTACAACTCCCAGAAGCCTTCACCACCAACCTCTACAGGTCAGGATTTCTGGGACTTGAAGTCCAAGAACATCTGGAGGCCCAAAGTTGGGGACCACTGTTCTAATGGACAGCTCTGGTAGCTTCCTCTTTTGATAGTACAGTCATGCCCCGCTTAACGATTACCCCGCATAACAATGAATCCGCTTCACGACGATGTTTCTGCGATCCTAACTGCAATTGCAAAACAATGTTTTAATGGGTTTTTTTCGGTTTGCGACGATCGGTTCCCTGCTTCGGGAACCGATTCTTCGCATTACGGCGATCAAAACAGCTGATCGTCGGGTTTTCAAAATGGCCGCCGGGTGCTCAAAATGGCTCCCCGCTGTTTTTAGGAGGCATTTTTCATACTACAGGCACCGAAAATGGCCACCCCTATGGAGGATCTTGGGCGAGCAGGTATTCAGCCCATTGGAACGCACTGAATGGTTTTCAATGCGTTTCAATGAGCTTTTTTATTTCGCTTGACGACGTTTTCGCTCTACAACGATTTCGCTGGAATGAATTAACCTCGTTAAGTGAGGCACCACTCTGTGTGTGTGTGTGTATTTTCTAGGATTTTTCTCATATTACAGTATTTTAAATATTTTCAGGACATGGATAAGTGGATCAGCGAATACTGATCATGAGGATGGGGGGAAGGTTTCCTACTCTACAAGGGAACTACAGGTAGGGCTTAGGAACAGATCCTGCCTGAAACTCCTGGGCAGAAGGCATGGCTAGCAACCAGAGTGGACAGACCATACTGGACTAGACAGACCGATAGTTTGACTCGGAGCAAGGCATCCTCCTACAGATCACACAGAGGTCTTCTTCTACGGCTGTCTAGGCCCCTCTCTGCTAAGGAGTCACACAGGTCTCGGCTCACGTCACTCCTTCCTTTTGGCTCCAAGTGGCCCATGTCGGTCCCCACCCTGGTATTCTGCCCGCAGAGAAGTGAACGGAACTCACATGGACTTTCGGGGTGGGGGGCAACCCGTGACACAGCAGCCTCTGAGGGAACAAGAGGAAGAAGGAGAGAGTTAACCGGGAAAGGTTCAAAGCAACCCTGTTTCTGGAAAAAAGGAAAGCAAAGAATGCTTGGAAATATGGGGGGGTGGGACCCCCACCCCCACCCTACTTACGGTGGCCTCCTCTTTCTTTTTCATGGTGGCCCACTCGGTGGAGAGGAGAGAGTCTGCCGGTTTGGGGAAGCCGGTCCCTGAGGTAGCTGAGGTATCGTTCACGCCTGCGCTGCCTGTGGGGTGGAAGACAAGATTTGCCAACCAACCACCCCACACAAGACGCAGTTAGAAACGGGAGCGTTCTGCTCGCCGTCCGCCGACCAGTTTTATACTTCTTTTAAACCCCAGTTGTCAGCATATGAAATAAATCAGAAACATGTCTTAATGTTCTTTGGCCTTCCTTTTTTAAAAATGCCCCTAGGATAAAGGGTGGAGGTGGGTTCTTCTCATCATCCAGCCTCCATAAAGGGAAATTAGGATAAACTGGAAATCCCTTTGATGACAAACCCATCAAACTCAGGGTGGGAGGAACAGTTATCTCCCTGCATGCATTAGGAACCTGCTCTGCGCACAGCGCCGAGTGGCTGGTGCCCGTGCCGTCACCTTCTTATCTCATTTTCCAGAGTGGTTTCTCATCCCTTTTTGTTCCAAGTTACCGAAGGTCTAACCAACCTCACCGACACCAATATGCCTGCAATTTGGTACGCACAGCGTTTGGCTATTAGGTATGATGGAACCGTCGCACTGTCCATCCTTCACTAGTCTAAGTCACATCCGCCAGGACTCATCATTATATCTTTCAAACGAGCCCTAAAACATTTGGCTTTCCACACTGGCTTATAGCTGAGTTCGCCCTCACAGAGATGGCACAAGTTGGGTTGAACTGTAAAATTTAGGAATTTTGTTAAGACTTCTGGTCTAAATCCTGTTGTGCAACTTAGACATCTCTGGAAGGGTAATGACATCACTGGCAGGGGGAGATTTTTGTTATAATCAAAAACTACAGTGGTGCCTCGCTTAACGATTCCCTCATTAAACGACGAAACCACTATACGATTATTGTTCTGCAATCGCTTTCGCGATCGCAAAACGATGTTTTAATAGGCAAAATCCGCTTTGCGACAATCAGTTCCCTGGTTCGGGAACCGATTCTTCGCATTACGACGTTTTAAAAACAGCTGATTGACGGCTTCAAAATGGCCGCCCGCTGTGTAAAATGGCTCCCCGCTGTGTTTTTGGACGGATTCCTTGCTTTACAGGTACTGAAAATGGCCGCCCCTGTGGTGGATCTTCGCTGGATGGTGAGTTTTTCAGCCCATTGGAACGCATTGAACGGGTTTTCAATGCGTTTCAATGAGATTTTTTATTTCGCTTAACGAGGATTTCGCTGGAATTATCCTTGTTAAGTGAGGCACCACTGTACTTCCTTCTGCCTTGTGACTTGTCCCGCTTGTGAGTAACCTGTATCATGGCGTGGAAGCCCTGGGGCAGGAAAAAAAACCATTTAAAGCTTCCAGAAGTCCTCCCTGCAGGTGACATCAGCATCCTTGCTGAGGTGCAGCTTATTGCAACAGAATTTTGGTCACTATTTTTCTAACTGCTGTTTTATGTCGATCCGTTTTTATTTTATAGACCACTTTGGGAGGGCTTCTCATAAAAAGTGGCCCATCCATCTTTCAAATAAATACATCAGGTGGGGAACGTCTAGCTATCCAGATGCTGTTAAAATGGTGTTAAGGTAAGCCTATGATGTTGCCGCCGCCTTAAACCATCATCTTAGATGAAGAATTATGGAAGTTGCAGGCTACACAGCAAGCTGGATACTCAGTTTACCCAACCTTGGACAGACACGGCTGAGTCAATCCTGAAGCCCAGGATCACAATCAGGTTGTGAGCAGAGTCTTCATTGCAATACTGCAGTTTAATCACTGCACCAGGAGACTCCTAAGTACATTTTATGAGTTTTCTTTGGGGGGAGGAAGTGCTTTGTTCTATGGTGGATGAAAACTCCACACCCAACCGATGCCAGCTCCACCTGGCCTTATGGGCTTCTCAAAGGCAGCATTCTCCCCAGTAGCTTCCTCCTTCCTCCTCGCCATTACCCGGCAAAGTTTGGCTTCTAGGATGTTCCAGATCTGAGAATTCAAGGCCCTCCTCGTGCTCCCAGGGGGCCTTATATGCCAGCTCCAGGTTGAGAAAATCCCAGAAGGGCCCTTTCTTGATGGTGCTCATGGCATCCTCATCACCACTGCTCAGCTGCGGCTCTCCATCGGCCTGCATAAAAGAAAGCAAGGTGTCCTCGGAGCGTGTCTACCATGTATAGCGATAATAATTTGACTCCAGGGGGCCAGCCCCCATGGAATCTTGGGACCCGCCATTTGATGAAGCCTCCGATTCCTCTCCTGGAGAGCTCCCGTGGTGACGTCCGAACCATCGGGGAGGGACACCTCCCCAAACGGCACGTCTCAAAATTCTATGGGGCTGGAGCCGGGACACTGAAAGTGGGATCCAGCCGCAGTGACGGTGCAGCATGAGCTACACTCTTGAGGAGGGGGCGGAAAGGGATGTCTGGCGCTAATGGCCAAACGAAAGCCTACCTGTTTGGTGGGGTGTGCAGGACGAATCGTGAGGCTCCTGCGGAAGAACAGACGTTTTTAGAACAGGAATTCGTACTCATACCCTTGGGGCTGGTACAGAGACTCCAACCCAGCAGCCAGATTGTTGAGTGGGGGGTCAGGAAAGACCCCCACACACACCTTTTCCCCCCACCTTGGCCACCTTGCAACTGGCTTCCATACCAGCTTCAAGGGGATGGCGTCAACCTATAAAGCCCTAAACGGTTTAGAACCTCGATATCCGGCACAGCGCCTCCTCCCGACGAGATCGGCCCGTCCTGGAAGATCCTTGCAGGATTAGGGGGTTGAGAGTTATGGGTCGAGAGATGACCAGAAACCAGGCCTTCTCGGCGGCCACCCCGCCACAACGTACGGGACAGTTTCATGACCGAAATCCGCCCAGCCCCCCTCATGGGGAGCCTTTTTTAAAAAAACCTATTTAAAACATGGCTATTCAGAGAAGGCCTTGTCAGATCTTCAAACCAAAGGATACAATAGTGCCTCAATACAGTGGTGCCCCGCATAGTGAGCGTCCCATTTAATGATGAATCCGCATAGCGATGCGGATTTTGCGATCACAAAGCGATCGCATAACGATGTTTTAAAGGGCCAAATATCGCATTGCGATGATCGGTAAGCGTTTCGCTTACCGATTTTCGCATTGTGATGTTTAGAAAACAGCTGATCAGCGGTTCCAAAATGACCGCCAGGAAAAAATGGCTGCCCGCAGCGTTTTCGCGCCCTTTCCTCGCTTACCGGGCAGCGAAAATGGCAGCCGGATGGAGGATTTCCACATAGCGGTGAGTTTTTCCCCATAGGAACGCATTAAACGGGGTTTAATGCGTTCCTATGGGGTTTTTCGTTCTGTATAGTGACGATTCTGGATAACGATGATTTTTCTGGAACGGATTATCGTCGCTATGTGGGGCACCACTATAATCTAACTACATCCCTGTTTCCTTTTTATTTTATTGTGTTTTTACTGCGTATTGTTACTGTTATTTTTAATATTTTCTTTGGTTGTTCTTGTATACCCCGGCCACGATGTTATTGTTACTGTTTACTTTGTTGTAAACTGCCCAAGGTAGCCCTGGCTGCCAAATTTGGGAGGAGGAGGAGGTTAATAACAATCAAATAAATAAAAATAATAAATAAATACAAATAGAGATCATGAGAAAAGGGCCTCTTGGTGGGGGGCTGCCCAAGCTGATATGGGCTAATGCCTGGCCCCCAAACGTATTCTCCGATGTCCAAACTCAATCTATAAAGAACAGGCTTCTCCTGGGCACGTGCAGAGTATCGTTCTGATCCGCAGCTCGGAACGACGTCTCTCTAGTGAGGCAAGCATCCAGGCAGGCTTCAGCCTCAACTAAACCTGGCTACAAATATTTCCACTTATTTCCGTGGCGTCTCCTTCCCCATCTGAACTCGTTGAAACTCAGGAAAGGAAGGGGGTTCCGTGGAATCTTTAGATGGAACCACCGCACGAGATTTCCAAGCGCACGGATCTGAAGTCAAACCCGCCCCCTCCAAGAAAATCTTCATTTAAAAGAATCAAGCATGCGGAGAGGGGTAAATCTCTGCCGTGCAGCGGTGTGTCAGAGCAGACCACGCTAGCTGTAATGGGAAAATCCAGTTGTGTTTGCTTCCCTACTTACCTCTCTTCTAGGGCTTCTTCCACAGATTGGAGAAGGCTCCTGAAGAGGAAAGAAAAACAGTATAACTCTCAACACATTACGCGTCTCTCCCCCTTGACCGGGACACCCTCGACCAAATGCCAACCCCAAGCCACTTGCACAGAGCCAAGTCCTAGCGCTAGTTGCCTTTTTCGACACCCCAAAAATCACCCCCCCTTCCTTTCTCTTGGAAGGAGTCTTCTGCTTTTTTTTAATAACGGCAAAGCAGGCCGAAATCCAACCGGTGGGGCTTTCCACGCAGCGGTTGGAGGAAAAAACGGCCGCTGCTCAATTTTGATTTTTTTTTGCTCGCTGTGCAATAAAAGGATCGCCGTCAGCCGGAATCAATAGGGGGGAAATTCTGTTTTCCAGAGAGGTGGATGAACAATACAACTGGGAGCCCCTTTCCCCCCCACAAAAAAACCCTCTTTCGAGCCACCCCTCCCCAGTTCCTTACTCTCCATCTTTTAAAAGCATCCAGTTCTCCTCTTCCTCCTCCTCCTGCAAAAGAAACAAAGCGTCCCGTCAACTTCACGGCCTCAGCATCTCTAAAGGAATGATTCCATTTTTTATAGTTTCCCCCATTTTGTGGTACCAATTTAAGGATTTTGGAAAACTTGAAGGCTTGCAGAACTTCTGTGGCATTCTGGTTTGGTTTTGTCCCTTACGGACTTTGCATAGCTTCCCCCCCCCCCACTTTGCAACTAAGGCCAAATAAGGGGCCTCCACCTCCACTGTGTGGAGGAAGTCCTGGGTTCAAATCCCAGCATCTCCAGGCAGGCAGAGCTGAGAGAGGCTCCATCCGAAAACCTGGAATGCTCCACGCTTTGACGACTGATATTAAAGCCAATTCATTCGTGATAAAGATATATCGCACAGCCATACGTTATGGGCTGTCTATTTGGAGCTAACTTAAAGCAACCCTGATAAGTACTTCAAGGTGAGTGAGAACTGTGCACACACACATTGAGCAGGGATACGAACCCAGGCCTCCTGAGGCCTGGTCTGTCACAGGTATATACAGTGGTGCCTCCCTTAACAACAATAATCCGTTCCAGGAAAATCGCTGTTAAGTGAAAACATCGTAAAGCAAAATTAAAAACCCCAGTGAAACGCATTGAAAACCACTCAATCCGTTCCAATGGGGTAAAAACTCACCGTCCAGTGAAGATCCTCCATACAGCGGCCATTTTCGCTGCCTGTATAGTGAGGAATCCATCCCTAAGCACAGCGGGGAGCCATTTTAAGCACCCAGCGGCCGTTTTGAAAACCCGACGATCAGCTGTTTTTGATCGCCGTAAAGCGAAAATCGGTTCCCGAAGCAGGGAACCGATCATCGCTAAGCGAAATTCCTCCATTTAGACCATCATTTTGCAATTGAAATTGTGATCGCAAAAACATCACCGTAAAGCGCAGTCGTCGTAATGCGGGGCAATCGTTAAGCAGGGCACGACTGTACACACACGCACGCACAACTTACCGGACTGCACCATGGCTCTGTTTCTTTCCTGAGAGGGGGCCCAAATTTAACCTTATTAACTACGAAAGAAGAAGAACAAATTAGCCCATCTATTTAAACCCACACAAGAAAACGTCATCCTGAGCTCCTTCTATTCATCGGGGGTAGGTGGGGCGTGTAATCTTCAGACTCCATGTGGCCCTACAGGTAAGAACACACAGTCCATCACCTAACTTCGCAAGCCTCCTGCTATGGATGAATTCAGATCTGGGGGGTCAGAGTGACCTCTGGTCTCGGCTATCGTGGAGAAAGGGAGAGGGAGGGTAGAAGTACACTGAAGAAACGGGCAGAGAGGGACAGAAAGAAAAGAGGGGAGAGATAGAGGGATAATGGGGGGGGGAGAGAATTGGAAGCAGAAGCAGAGCAAAAAAAAAAAAACAGGAGAAAAATGGAAATCGCGAAGCGAGGCCAAGAGGGGAAAAAAGTGCGTGGCGGAGGCCAAGAAGGAGGGGAAGCAGGTGACAAGAGACCGAAAGAGAGAAGGAGAAACCGGAGACGGCCAAAATGCAGAAAGAGCGACAGAGGGAGAGGACAAAGAGGGGTGGGGATAAGAGGAAACGAGGCCCTCAATGAGATGGATCGACCCTCTGAAGGAAGCCACCGACTTGAGTTTTTACAAGAACCGAGCAGGGCTGGTCAAGGGAAGGGCATGACTGAGATCAAATCGTTCACGGGGGCTGCCAAAAAAATCAGAGGCAACGTGGCGGCACGGAAAAACCACAGCGACACGAGCGGGAGAACAGAAGACGCCGGGAGAGAGAGAGAGAGAGAAGGGGGATGACGAAGGCAGAGGAAATGGAGGTGACAGGCGGAGACCGGTGGAAGGATGACAGAGACAGCCTTCCCATCCAGGATAGACAGTCCCCCGCAGAAATTAGTCCCCCAAATGACCTTGCCTTTGCCTTCGGACGGCCTCCCTCCACTGGGGGGGAAAAACGACCCCTGCCTTTGAAGGACAAGGTCAAAGGCTTTCAAGGGGTTTAAGGGATGGTTCTACCAGTTCCACTCCGCCTTATCCAGTGAGTTTCCATGGCCGAAAAGGAATTCGAACCCTGCTCTCCGGAGTCCCGGTGTGGCGTTCTCCTAGTTCTAGCCCATCATCACTCGACACCCCACGCCGGGTAGCACAGCCTGCCCAATACACATCTCCCTTCAACAAGGCTGGAGGTTTTTGCACCCCCAACCTCCGTGTAGTTCAAAATCTGGGTAGAACTCTTATGGCCTCTCCCCAAAACTTGAATACAAAAAATAAACAGTTGATTCTTTCTTTCTCTCTCTCACACACACACACACACACAAACACACACACAGAGGCACCTAAAGGACAGGAAAAGCCTATATCAGAGGTGGATAGCAGAGACGCGATCTCACCTCCTCCTGCTAGGATCTCTCTCAAGCCTGCCTCTTAGCGTGGTCTAGCACCCTTCCTGGCTGCCACAGGGAGCCACCATGCCAAGAGAGAGGGCCAGCGGGACCATGGACATCGGACCAGGGGGGCTGTTGCACCACCAGCCTCGGTAAGTCCAAGACCCACCTTTCTCAGGCTACTTCCTGGAAACGAACAGCAGCACAGTACAGTGGTGCCCCGCATAGCAAAGTTAATCCGTTCCAGATTAATCTTCGCTATCTGGAAACATCGCTAAACGGAACTAAAAACCCCATAGGAACGCATTAAACTTTGTTTAATGCGTTCCTATGGGGCGAAAACTCACCGTTCAGCGAAGATCCTCCATAGCGCCGCCATTTTCGCCGCCTCGGTAAGCGAGGAAACCGCGCGAAAATGCTTGCGGCGACCATTTTGGGTACCCGGCGGCCATTTTGGAACCGCCGATCAGCTGTTCTAAAAACATCGCAATGTGAAGATCGGTAAGCAAAACGCTTACCGATCATCGCAATGCAATGTTTTCCCATTCAAAACATTGCAAGGCGATTGCATTAGCGATCGCAAAAAATAGATCGCTATGCAGATTCGTCATTAAACGGTGCACTCGTTATGCGAGGCACTACTGTATTTACTGAATACTCATTCATTCATTCATTCACTCACAAGAACCAATGGGTGGAAACTCATCAGCGGGAGATCCAACCTGGAAATAAGGAGGAATTTCCTGATGGTGAAAACCATCAAGCAGTGGAACAGCTTGTCTCCTGATGTCGTGGGTGCCCCATTGCTGGAGGTTTTCAAGAAAAAATTGGACAGCCATCTGTCCGGGACGGGATGAGGTCTCTTGCCTCGACTAGAAGAACCTCCAAGGTCTTTCCAACCCTACGACGATTCTATGATTCATTCATAAAAAAATATATCTGTGTATAACCAAAACGGTGCTGCTCAAACTTGTGCAATTCAAGGGAGAAGTGGGCCGGTATGGAGGGGACACACACACACACACAGAGAGAAAGACTCCCTAGGCTTCCTTCCCTTCCAGAACATCCATCCTCTTTCCCAGCAGGCCAAATGGCTGGTTCAAGGCGAGATCTTTATTAAAACCAACATGGTGGGGAAGCTTACACTGGATCTCTGCAAGGGTCCCTTCCGTTGGCCCAGGTTGCCTCCGCGAATGGATTTTATCAGGGAAAACTTCATAGGCCTGAATAAAAACAGCAGAACACAATTTTGAAATGCATGCAAATAACTCTTCTGCACAGAGGGGGGGGGCCCTCCAGGTGTTGTTGGACTACAACACCCATCATGCCTCATCACTGGCATCCAAAAGGATCGTGTTTCCCCCATCCTAAGGGGAGAATCCTAGCTCATTGACTAATCCCCCTGCCTTACATGGACACGGCCCCGGATTCAATTCCTGAAAACAAGAATGGCGGGTGACTCCCAATACGGCGGGTGCTGTGAAACCACTCGGGTCTGTACTTTACAGGAGATATCCCGGGTGTCAAGACCTACATACCAAATAGTTTCAGCATCTCAGATCACGCTTGTAAAGTGCAAACACAAACCTAGTGTGTATTTATAGCACCACTGAAACTGCAGCCATCATCAGCTGTCACCGGCTGCAAAGCCCCCTCCCTCCCTTCTGAAATCCTGGACAGCTGCTGCCAGATATTGTTGACGACAATGAGTTAGCTGGACCAAGGGCCAAAACTGATGTATGGCAAAAAAAATGAATTTTTGTTTAAATGCTAGTGGATTGTGAGGACTGCAGAAAACCCTAGGGTGCAAAGCACTTTAGGAGAAAAACTCAGTGATAGATCCCTTGCTTTGCAGTATCTGTGGGATCGAAATCTGCAGTTTCATTTATCCATAATCTGAAAATATTAAAAAAAAAATTAAAAAAGAAATGCATATTTTCATGGTGAATTTACCACAACTGGCCATTAGAGGGAACCAGAGACCATGCTATGTAGTCCTGTTGAAGAATACATAGCAAGATCTCTGGCACCCTCTAGTGGCTGGATTCATTAATACATGGTGAAAATTCTTCCTTCTGGATTTCTTTTACCATGCTGAGTAGCATTCATTACTATCTGCAGTTTTCAGCATCCGTGGTGGGGCTTGGAACCAACCCCTTGTGGATACAGGGATCCTACTGTACATAAAATGTCCACTGGCATCTCCAGGTAGGGCTGGCAAAGATCTCTGTCTGACCCTCAAGAAACATTTTAATCCCTATAGACAATACTAAGGGGGATGTCCAAACTTTTTAGCAATCCTTTTTCCCTTACTGTACATAAAACTATCCACGAATTCTATTTCTCAACCTTTCAAAAGTCAAAAAAGAGAGGAGTCATTTCGCCCCCGTTTTTGTGGCTGTGAATGCCAGGAATTACTCACACATTTATGCACACATCTTAATTATATATTAATTCAAGAGCCTGCGTGATTTAGTGGTTAGAGTGCCATTCTCAAGAGACCTGAGTTCAAATTCCTATTTGGGCATGAAACTGATCGGATGACCTTGAGACACCCACGCTCTCTCTCAGCCTGACCTGCCTTGCCTTGCAACAACCCTGAGAGGTAGACCAGGAACGGTCGCCCCTGTGAATTTCCATGGCCAAGTGCAGATTTCAATCCAGGTCTTCAACACAAGTGACCGCTACATCACGGGTTTCTTCTGTACATCAGAAATGGGGAAAGTATTTTCCAACAATAGTTAGAATAAACCAATAATAAACATTTTGGAATATTGTGAAATGCATCCAGAAAAGCAAATGATGTTAATCTTTTTAGACGCAGAAAAGGCCTTTGATAATGTCAATTGGGAGTTTATGTTGCTGCAGTTAAAGAAGATGGGAACTTTTCTTCAAACAATTAAAGCAATGTACACTAAACAGAAGGCCAAGATTAAAATCAATGGTCAAGTAACTGAAAATATCCAAACTGGACAAGGCACAAGGCAGGGTTGCCCACTTTCTCTGTGGTTATTTATTCTAACATTAGAAATTCTAAATAGACAAATAAGAGGGAATGATGGAATTAAGGGTCTCAGAATCAGGGTAGAAGAATTTAAGTTGCAAGCATATGCTGATGATTTAGCGATAATACTAGAAAACCCTCTGGACAGTTTGGAAGAAGTAGTGAGAACTATGGAAGAATTTGGAGCCAATGCAAATCTTAAAATAAACTATCAGAAAAAATTCATAAAGAAATAAGAAGTGGAAAGACTGACAATGAAAACTAATTTCAAGTACAGAAAGTGAAATATCTAGGAGTTATCATTACAAAAAAAAAACCCCAAGTAATTTGATGAAAGAAAACTAACAGCAGTACTTCTAACAGTATGGTCCCCAAGATACCGTTAGGACTACAACTCCCATGATCCCTCAACCTTCCCCACTTGTTCTCTGTCTCGGTCAAAGGAACAAGTCCTTGAATTTTTTCCGGGTCACTTTATTTAACCCCTTGCCCTCACCCCCCCAAACAATACAATCTTGTGTTTTATTGTTTGTATTTTGTATTGGAAGCCGCCTAGAGTGGCCCAACCTTCCCCACTCGTCCTCTGTCTTGGTCAAAGGAACAAGCCCTTGAATTTGTTCCAGGTCACTTTATTTAACCCCCCCGCCCCCACAAGCCCTGTTGAGACCATACCTCAAAATCCCCATCGTCCAAGGCAGCCGTAGCTAGGTCAGGATTAGTGGCTTTTTCCAGCAGTTCAATGACTAAGGTGCGGGCCAGTGGCTGGTAAACAAAAGGATGCTGGCGCAGACAGGGAGAGGGGATGAGCAGAGGGAAAAAACATTCTGATCAAGGATCTTTCCCAATTAAAAATAATATTTTGCTCAGCACGTTTCAGTTAACAAAAATGTAGTGCCCTGTAATAACATTTACGAAATCAGAATAGAATAGTATGTAATGTAAATTATGTTCTTTGGCCATGCCCTCTTTGGAATATGGCTTTTGGGCTGCCAGTAAATCCGGAAAATGGCCCTTCGCTATGCCAAGATAGCCCACCCCTTGTTACAGACATATCCGCTCATCCTTGTTTAGACCGATGTTAAGCATTTTTTTAAAGGGACGGTCATCCTGTCCTCCCGCTCTGCCCAAGTGGGGAAAGGGGTCTCCCAGCCCTGCCCTAGACCAAGGTCACCTGCAGCAGCTTCTCTGCCACTGGACGTTTCTTGGGGTTTTTGGTCAAGCAGAGTTTGACGAAATGGTGGAAATCGGCGGACCTGCAAGAGGAAAAAGAAGGCGCGTTGGCTGCGGAAACCAGCTCAGAAAGTCCAGGTTGCCATTTGGGCATCTGAACGGTTCTGGAAGGGAGTGTGTGCCACTCAGCTTCCGCTCAAAAAGAGGCACCTCCTTGAAGGGAGACGAGGAGACCCCCTCAGATGTCCCGGATGGTCCTTGACCCGCTCTGACCTGAGCTGACCTTTCTTCCATTTTAGATGGCTATTCTTAGGGCTGCTGGTTTCCTTCCTTCTTACGCTCCTCCCTCTCGTCCCTTCGAGAAGCAGACATTTTGCTTTTTGTTCTCTAGAGACCGAAGGGGCAGTCCCGGCGCTTGGACCTCTCCCGTTTTGTACGGCAGAGTTCGGAGGCCTTTCCCCTTTCCTGCCCCAAGTGTATCTCTGTAGTAAACACAAGCTTGAATATGCCCTAAAACAAGCTGGGCATGAAATTCTATTTCAAAATACTTAAATACTGGACAACACCAGCAATCATTACGTTAGACTACACAGGGAAGCCACTGAAAGCCACAAACACCAGCAAAGCTTCAACAAAAGAGAAAAAAAAGTCTAAAACTCAACGAAGCCTGGCTCCCAACACTGAAAAATACAGCCTGCAAAAAAGGTCAACAACCTCTATCCAGCCACAAGGACCGGTGATCATTGCACACAAAAGACCAGCTAACGACACCCATCAATCACAGTGACAGATAATCTCTCCCCCTTATCACAACAATACACCCACAACAAAAAACACGTTGATCACCACAATCGCCCACTCTCCTGAAAAGGACAAAAGCTGATCCCACAGCTATAAATACTCCAAACAAACTGCACCAGAGCACAGAGTTCTGATTCCTGTCCTTTGAAGAGGACCGCCAAAGAGACTGGCCAAACTTTAGGAAGAACAACCTTCAGAACACGGCCAAAGAGCCCAAAAAACCCATAACCACAAGCTTTCTTATCTTCTTGGAAAGAAGAGTGTACCCCGTTTCCACCCAGAGAGACTGGCCAAACTTTAGGAAGGACAACCTTCAGAACACGGCCAAAGAGCCCAAAAAACCCATAACCACAAGCTTTCTTATCTTCTTGGAAAGAAGAGTGGACACCATTAAAAAACACACACACCAGGGAAATGTGCTCAGGTTCTGCCTGTCAAAGGGCTGACTCCACAAGTCAGTGTTGCTTTGGCACTTGTGTGTGTGTGTGTGTGTGTGTGTGTGTGTGTCTGTGTCTGTGTCTATGTGTGTGTACTTTGCAACAAGGTGAAGGGAAGTCCGGTATCGTTCCCTGTTCTTGCGTCATTTTCCACCCACAAAACCGGACTAGAGGAGCAGTTTATTTACTCTTAATTCACACCCACATCCTTCCTCTCCTGTGTGAGTTCAAGGTCACTCGTAGGACGGCCAAAGAGCCCAAAAAACCCATAACCACAAGCTTTCTTATCTTCTTGGAAAGAAGAGTGTACCCCGTTTCCACCCATTTGACCTCCCTCATAGGATTGTTCTGAAGATAAATTGGGGGGAGCAGAGAGTCCTACGTGGGACCTTGAACTCAAAGGTCACTTAGTGAGTTCCATAGCTTAACGGGGGCTAGAAACTTGGGTCTCCCACGTCGCAGGTCAACACCCTAACAGCTACCTTACACCGCCTGTCAAATTTGATTCAAGGCGGGTGATCTGACCGCGTCTTCCACCCCGCTGGAAGTCTGCAGGCTGGTTTGGGGAATGCAAAGCAACGTTCTGTGCCACAACCAGCCCCCTCACCCAACGGGAAGACCTGGATACGAAGGCATTAGCTCCTAGCATGGCCGCGGCCATGGGCGAACCTCTTGGAAGGTTCGCCCAGACCACTATACACCTTTGGCCAGCAAATAAGATTTCTTCCCGATCGGCAAATGGCCATTTGAAAGAGCTCTTTACACTTCAGGTGCCAGACGGCTCTTGGCCAAGGACCCAAGCTCGGACGAACAGCCAAAGACTTCTGAAACATTGCAGAGGTCAAAGTAAAGGATTCTAGGTTTCCCTGCAGCGGTTGGTGATCTGACCGCGTCTTCCACCCCGCTGGAAGTCTGCAGGCTGGTTTGGGGAATGCAAAGCAACGTTCTGTGCCACAACCAGCCCCCTCACCCAACGGGAAGACCTGGATATGAAGGCATTAGCTCCTAGCATGGCCTCTTGGAAGGTTTGCCCAGCCCACTGTACACCTTTGGCCAGCCAATAAGACTAAGATTTCTTCCCGATCGGCAAATGGCCGTTTGAAAGAGCTCTTTATACTTCAGGTGCCAGACGGCTCTTGGCCAAGGACCCAAGCTCGGACGAACAGCCAAAGACTTCTGAAACATTGCAGAGGTCAAAGTAAAGGATTCTAGGTTTCCCTGCAGCGGTTGTCCAAATGGGTCGGAGGGGGGGGGGGAAGCAGAAAATTTCTGCGAACCAGACCAACATTATTTTTTGCAAAAAGAGGAACTGTAATGCCAAACATCCTACGGTCCAGATACCCCAAAAGATGGGGGTGAGGAATAAAGAATATAACAGCATCTGATTTCCTTCTCTTTTTCCAGATGTGCGGAACCGTGAAAGGTCAAGCAGCCAGGGGCATGTGCAAAGGACAACTCCCCCCTCAAGGGCTTGGATTTCCATTATGAGCCACTGGCTTCTCAACTGGGGGGGGAGAGGGACGTGGCCTATGGTAAGGCTTTTGGAGAAAGCAGGGGCTTGAGAATCGTTCTCCCCCAGGTCCTCTGAGGGCCAGATGTTGGCCAGCGGTGAGCCAGACATGCCCTGCAGGGCTGGAAGTCCTTCTCTTTAAGCCACGGGGAGAGAACCTGCAGTTCCTACGGTTCCTGTCAGCTCTATCGAGTGCAGCCAGGCCACCTGCCGGAGACCGGGGGTGTGTGTGTCCCTCCATCTTTGTTCTAGCCATTCCGCGCCACACAGCTCGCCGGCGCTCTTTTCAGAGTTGGAGCAACACAGACCAAAGAAAATCAGAACTGTGTCGCCAGCCGGGGTTAAGATATTCCGCCAGAAGCTCCGTCGATGGTCCATCAGCCGCCGATACTCACCAGCACATCTTCTCTTTCAGCTTGGGGGGCTGGAAACTGCTTTTCGACATCAGCATCAAGGCCCTGGATGAAATGGGGGGGGACCCAATTAATATGGCATTTTCTCTTGGAGGCCGCAACGGCACAGGATTTGCTGTGGGTGTAAAACGGGGTGGCGCTGCGGGCTAAACCACAGAAGCCTTTGTGTGCTGCAAGGTCAGAAGACCAGCAGTCGTAAGATCGAATCCACGCGACGGAGGGAGCTCCCGTCACTTTGTCCCAGCTCCTGCCAACCTAGCAGTTCGAAAGCGTGTAAGAATGCGAGTAGATAAATGGGGAGCACTTCGGTGGGAAAGTAAAAAGGTGCTCCCTAGTCACGCTGGCCACGTGACAATGGAAACTGTCTTTGGACAAGCGCTGGCTCTACGGCTTGAAAAACAGGATGAGCACCGCTCCCTAGAGTCGGACATGAATGGACTAAAAATGTCAAGGGGAACCTTTACCTTTTAAAACGGATAATTTGGCTTATTTTAAAGCTGATCATTCTGGGGGGGTGGGGTGTTCTCATCCCCAAAGAAAGCTTTTCGGAGCCCTGGTATCCCCACCAGAGTCGTCGTCGTCGTCATCCTCCTCACCTCATTGGGTGCAAGTCAAAGAGAGAGCCCACCGGAGTCGTCGTCGTCATCATCATCATCATCCTCACCTCATTGGGTGCAAGTCAAAGAGAGGCGGCTGTAGTTCCGCCAGCTCTATGGCCGTAATGCCAAGGGCCCAGATGTCACACAGATGATTGTAGCCGCCCTTCTTCTCTACGGCGGCCACCTCCGGAGCCATCCTGGCAGAGAGGACAAGACGGTGAATTTTTGGAGGGGGAAGGATCAAGGAGGTAAACAAGCAGGCCATGACCCAGCCCAGCTCCTTCCCTACCACCCCCATCATCCTACTTGAGTCCCATGACTGTTTAACTTCCATTTCCTTATGCATGTAAACACCGTGAGCATAAACTTTGCATTTGTCGAGGGCGATTGCACGCAAAAAACCTGCTTTAACACCCAGTTCTTTACGTCAAGAGGAGGATAAACTTGTAAACACCCGTTCATACCTCCCAGAGCTTATATTCTGTGGCTTTCATGCTTATGGATGTCTGCCTTCACTCGGCTAAATCATTTTTTACAGCTCTTTTATGTGAGATTCTTGTTTAAGCCTCACACCCAACCGCTAGTCCCAGTTAAAAGGGACCCCCAAACCAATGAGTTTTAACATTAAGTGTTAATTTGGCATTCAGCATTCGACCTAGTGAATGGGGCCGACAATTGGATTTATTGCTTAAATATTTCTGGCTTTATTTTATTGTCACAGGAATGATTTTTGCAACATGCCCCAGAAGCCTGTGGCAAGGATAGGGGACCGTTGGGAATCCAAGTGGGTTGTGCATCAATATTATTACAGTATTATTGATGTTTTTGTTGCACATAGCCTGCCAAATATGGGTTGGATTTAGTTCCTTGAATATTAGATCATTCCCAGAGACCTAGGATGTACATAGCACATTATGTTACACTATGCCATGTTTTTGTACTTTGGGTTGGGGTTTTTTTGTTGGTTGGTTTCCTGTTGTAGGATTTAAAAATTAATTTAAAAAAAGAATACTGGATCATTCACAAGGGCCTTGGATATTCTTAGGTATTTCCTTGAAACACGTGCTGTTCCAAGCATGATAGCCTATTTCAAGTGGTTGATTTTGTCCCTATTTTATGCCTAAAATACAAAGGTAGTTTTCTAGGTCTTTTGCACCTAAAGCAAGAATTACAACGGGAACAAATTTTGTTTTCCTTTGCTGTAACTTTTCATCTCAATTTGCAAGTCTTTGTACTTGGCGATCTTTCCAAATTCCTTTTCTTCCATTCTAGCATCCCTCTATAGAGCCCTATCCACTATCCATACGTGCCTCCTTTCGACAAGGATTAGATCAGGCATTTTGTGAGCCAGGCGTTTCATAGAATCAGAGAATACATCGAGTCCGAAGGGGCCTCTAAGGCCATGGGGTCCAAGCCAGTCCTCAATGCAGGAATCGAAAGAAAAGTATTTCTGATAGATGGTTGGCCAATTTTCTGTTGAATGCCTCTACCTCCCAAGGTCACTGGCTCCATTGTTGTACTGCATTAACAGTTAAGAAGTTTTCCTGATATTCAGCCTAAATCTGGCTCCTTGTAGCTTCAGCCCATTATTATGTGTTCCGGGATGATCAAGAACAGATCCTGCCCCTCCTCTGTATCTGTTTGAAGAGGGCTCTCCTCTCTCCCCTCTGTCTTCTGTTCTCCAGGCTAAACATGCCCAGTTTGTTCCGTTTTTCCTCCTAGGGCTTGGTTTCTAGTTTCCTGATCATCCTTGTTGCTGTCCTCTGAACTCGCTCCACTTTGTCAGCATCCTTCTTGAATTGCAGTGTCCGCAAATAACAAACTCTTTTGTTGTTGTTTCATCATTAAGTCGTGTCTTTTGTTATTGTTTCGTCGCTAAGTCGTGTCCGGCTCTTCGTGACCCCATGGACCAGAGCCCGCCAGGCCCTCCTTGTCTTCCACGGCCTCCCAAAGCTGGGTCAAATTCATGTGGGTCGCTTCGATGACCCTGTCCATCCATCTCATCCTCTGTCGTCCCCGTCTCCTCCAGCCTTCACACTTTCCCGACATCGGGGTCTTTTCCAGGGAATCTTCTCTTCATCTAGAGTTCTCCAGAACTTTACATGAAGCCTAACCAGTGCTGAATAGAGGGGAACTAGTTCTTCATGAGATTTGGAGACAATACTTCTGTTAATGCATCTTAAAATGGCACTTGTCAATTTTTGTTTTTTTTGCAGCCACATCGTACACATTCAGCTTCCGATCAACAATTCAAAGATCCCTCTCATTCGCAGTATTACTTGTAACTGTGCATTTGGTTCCCCACCCACCACCCACCCCCGGTGCAGAATGTTCCACTTCTCCCTGTTAAATTCCTTTCTGTTCTTTTCAGCCTATCAAGACCTTTCCGAATTTTGTTCCCGCATTCCAGAGTATTGGCCATTCCGCCTAATTTGGTGCCATCTGCAAGTCTGACAAGCACTCCCTCAATCCAAGCTATTAACAAAAATGTGGAATAGCACTGGGCCCAGGATTGAGCGTTGGGGTACCCCATTTTTGACCTCCCCCCAGTTGGAGAAGAAGCCGTTAATCATCACCCTCTGAGTATCATTCTGTAGCCAACTGTGTATCTACCTAACACTTGGATCTATCCAGCCCACAACTCCTCAGATCCCTAATCAGAAGATCATGGGGCACTCTGTCAAAGGCTGTGCTGAAGTCCAGCTATATTACATCCAAAGCCGGATGTCTCCATTTTCAACAACTTTTTCTGTTTCGTGATCCCACTCGTTTTTTCGGTCCCTGGTCTATTGTGTTTCGTACAGACATTCCAAATCACCACGGCTGCAACCTTCCTATGCCTTTCCAAATTTCCTGTTTGCACGGTCTCCTTGCAGGCCACAGAGGAGGGGGTCCCCTGCTTCTTCTGCTTCTTAACGGCCATTTACGGTCATCCGTGCGATTTCTCATTCCGGGTTTCCATGACCTTTGCGTGGAGCGCTTCCGCTTTAAAGATCAGCCCCTCCGTTTCTTTCTTCGGTGGTCCTTTCCTCAGCCGTGGCCACATTCTTGAACACTATCCCTTTTGCCCTGGAGGGTTTTAAAGTACGTACAGGGCACGGAGAGCTTTATTATTCTGCCGTCCTTCTCAGCCGTCCTTCTCATCTCACAGCGTCCTTCTCATCTCACAGCGTCCTTCTCATCTCACAGCGTCCTTCTCATCTCACAGTGTTCAACTCCTCCTTCTCCCTTGTCCCTTTGATCTTCAGCTTGATCAACTTCTCTCAACGCTTATTGACTCTCTTGGATAGACTCTGCTGCACTCCTCTTGCTTGCTCTGCTGACCACTTGACTTGTTGCATTCCAACGCCATGGAAGAGACGGCTAGTCAACGTCACCGTTGGGCGGTCACTCGTTTAGCCAACAAATCCTTAAATTTGTTGTTGCTGTTGTTACTGAGAGTCGACAAATCTGCCTAGCTCGCTTTCCCCTCCGTCTCTCATGCTTCGGTTCATCCCATGTCTACGTCGCTTTGTGAGTTTGTTGGGAATGTTCCAGATCCGCAGGAACCTGCTTTACACCAGCAGGGTTCCTCTATCCCACAGCGCCATCCGCCGGAGGCCATTTTGACAGCCATGATTCCGTCCCACGCCACTGTGGGACTTCTCGCTGAGTGAGAGATGTAGCAGGACTCTCTGCTGTCCTCTGGAACTCCCCCGCAGAGAACTCCCAAGTCCTTCCTCCCCAAACGAAAAAATCTAGAACTCTCCATGAGATGGAGCTGTGATATTTGAAAGTTGCATCAAACGTAAGACAGTGTGCAAATTCGTGTCTGTTGGTCTGAGTATCGTTGGTCGGACTGGTAGTATTTTTTTTTCCCCGGCCCTTTGGCAGAAGGTCTCTCCGGCCATCTGCTGTAGGACCTTTGGTTCTGCGGAGATGCTTGGGCTAAACCCGCAACTTTCCCCACACTCCCCAGCAGATGCTTGACCGCTAAGCTACTGGACATAGGATCAGTCCAGACTCTGGACTGATCCGTCCCCAGCGCTGTCTAAGCGGACGGATCAGCGGCCATCCTCCGGCTCCAGCTTCTAGCCCTACCTGAAGGTGCTGGAGATGAGATGGAATGAAGTCCCTGAATGCCTTTTTTTTAAAGTTAAGATACTTTTTAATGTTCACTTGCTTTTAATTATTCAATTGCATTTTTAATTGGCATGATGTTTAATTGCTTTTTAAGGTTTAACTTAATATGACTTTAATCCTTCTCTCTCTCTCTCACACACACACACACACACAAACACGAGTCTACAGATACTACAACGGCAGTGGTACTAGTTGGAGGGAGAAACAGAAGAATAGAAGGTGTCTGTTTTTTTGTTTTTTTGCCTTACCAATAAGGTGTTCCAATAAAGGATTTCCTCTTGGCCACCGAGGCCGTCAGCTCTGCCGAGACCCCGAAATCCGCTGTGGGCAGGAAGGGAGAACATGATATGAGAAGAACCAACAAGCACCACCCTCTCAGCTGGGTATGTGAGTGTGAATCTGGGAGACGATGGGCCGCAGGGCTTCCGTAAATAAAGATGTGTGTTGCAGGAAGGGTTTAAAACGAGAAGTGGATTTCAAGTCACCGTATTTTTTGCACCATAAGACGCACTTTTTTTCAAAAAAAAAAACCATTGGGGAAAAAGTATATGCGTCTTATGGAGCGAAATTCCCAGATTATTTTTTCCTGTTTTCTTTGCCTAAAAATTTGGTGCGTCTTATGGAGAGGTGCGTCTTATGGAGCGAAAAATTCGGTATTTCTTTCACAAAAGCGAGGCGGCCGCCAGTCCTGGGGTCAACGGTGGCCCCGGCAGCTGTCACCCTTCTTCGCCCCTTTTTTTACTCCGGTGCAAAGGTGCGTGCCCTTCCAGATGCTGTTCCAAGTCCGGTTTCTATCGTCGCTCTCTCCGCTGGCTTTGCTGGTTGGAACTGGTGGGAGATCAAGTCCACCCACACTTTGGAAAGCCATGCACTCCGAGCCCTGCTATATGGATTCTGAAGCAGCGCAGAGAATCCACTGGTGGGAGATCAAGTCCACTCACACTTTGGAAAGCCACGCACTCCGAGCCCTGCTGTATGGATTCTGAGGCAGCGCAGAGAATCCTAGAATCGTGGAGTCAGAAGGAGCCTCTAAAGGCCACTGAATCCAACGCTTTCTGCTCCAGGCAGAGGCTACTGAATCCAACGCTTTCTGCTCCAGGCAGGAACCTAAGTATCCGAGCAGATCGGACACAAATGGGAGGTGGGGAACAAGACACATGGAGCTGTGCAGGATCGCGTTTTTGGTCTAGAACTCCCAGAATTCTCCCACAGCCACGCTGCCTATGGAATTCTGGGCGTGACGCTGGAAGCAAGGGGAGTCTTAACGTCAGCCCCGCCATGCAACGGCCAAAGGTTATGGGCGACTCGCACAGCGCCTGGTTTCTCTCCTCCTCCCTCCCTTGCATGGAGAAGATCCAAGGTTCAAGACTAGAAGCTTCCGGGGGGGGGGGAAGGAGGGTCTGACCAAGACCCTCCCCAAATGAACCCTCAACAAAATGTGAATTGGGCACGGTGGGGGTGTCGCGGAGAAAGTGTAGCCCTGGGGGACTCCAACTCCCATTAGCCCCAGGCGCCGTGACCTATGGTTTTGGGATGGGGAGGGTGTAGACCAGCAGCAGACCAGGCCTTCTCGGTGGCTCCTCGCCTCTGGAATAATCTCCCTCCTGAGATCC